CCTCCCAAGTAGCTGGGACCACAGGCGCCTGCCACAATGCCTGGCTATTTTTTGGTTGCAGCCATCATTGTTGTTTGGCGGGCCCGGGCTGGATTCGAAACTGCCACCTTAGGTGTATATAGCTGGCACCTTAGCCACTTGACCACAGGCACTGAGCCAATACTAGGGCTTTTCAATAGAAGAGACTTCCAAGTCACTTGTGAGAAATTTAGTTCTCCTTGGGCAACAGTGCAAAATTCCCAGGTGAGCTGAGCCAACTTATAAGGGGAGCACCTGATTTTGAAACACTGAGATGTAAAGATGAATCATTTATGCAATTTAAGATCAAAAAGAAGACATCTACTTTGCTGCCTCTATCCTCACATCAACCTGATTTTCAAGGCATCTTCTATAGCCCCTGGTAGAGCTCCAGGATGTCCACAGTTTGAAAATTCCTCTGGTTTCAGTTAAAGTGCTCTGCACACATCCTGGCCTCAGCTTGACCACATCCTTCACACAGCCCCTGGGGACCTCTCTGTGAGTGACCAAGGTTTGACGCATGAGAGGCAAAGGTGTCTGACTCACTAAGGATGGAGCAGAGGGGGTTTCATACTGTAATTACCCAAGATCACCAGGGCAGTCTGAGGGTAATCAGGTAATTAGAGTGTGTGTGTGTGTGTGTGTGTGTGTGTGTGTGTAGTGTGGAACAATTACCCAGCTCACTGGCTGCCAGACGCCTGTCACTTCTCCTCTGGCCTTTGGGTTGGGTTCCTGGCTCTACCTGTGGACTATTAAGTGTAATGACCCTGTCATGCAGAGGAGCCTGTCATTATCTCTGTGTTAACATGGTATTTATCCACAAACCCCTGCCAAATCACTCTGTAATTAAAGGGCTTCCACGTGGTCCCCTCTGCTCTGACACTGGACAGCTGCGAAAGTTGTCAGGGCAAGGGTGGCTTTAAGCAGCCGAGGAGCTGGGCTAGGGTCACCTTGGGAGGCTCCAGATGGATGTTGTAACTGAGTCCTCCTGCCCCGTGCCCCGTTGACAAGACCTGGGAGCATACACCCAAGCAACAGGACTTTAGAGGCATCAGGACAGCACCTCCTCCCCGCAAAAATTCAGTCCATGGGGCTAACTCATTGACCACTAAAGAAAACATAAACCAACTTTAAAATTTGAAAATTAATATCTCTTCTGAAGTCTCTTGTAACCATGGCAGAGGGAATTGCATCATATAACATGGAGGAAAACTTTCTAAAAGTCCTCAGTAGCTCTCAGGCTCTACTTCCCAGTCACTCTTTGCTATCTGTCCCCCTCAAAATCCAAGCACCTGCCTCGGTCACTGGAGTTCCTGTGCCTCTGGGGTTCTTTTCTGTTTGTCACAAGCATTCTAAATCTTTGCTGAGAAAAACTGAATTTGTTCCCAGCCTCTCCCATTTCCCCTCCTTCCCTTTTCCCCGTTATCCGCACAAAGGACCCAAACACAGAAGGCCCCTTAAAAGAGGGAGCAGTTGTGATCACTTGCGGGTGGATATTGTGCTCCTGGTGGCCATGCGGTGCTGTTCTGAGCACTGGGCTAGGCTTTTTCTGAAGGATGAATTCCGAGACTTGGAGTACTTGGGTATGAATCTTTAAATTTGAAAAGATATTGTCAGTTAGTTTCTAAAACCTTGGACACCTTTAATAGGGTCCCACTAATAGTTTATCAGAATGCTCATTTCCCCATCTCCTTGTTAACCTGAGTTACTACCTCCTTTTAAAAATTGACTTCAAAAAAAAAAATTGACTTCAGGCTGAGCACCTGTAGCTCAAGCGGCTAGGGCGCCAGCCACACACACCAGAGCTGGTGGGTTTGAATCCAGCCTGGGTCCCCCAAACAACGACAACTACCACTAAAAATAGCTGGGCATTGTGGTGGGCACCTATAGTCCAGCTACTTGGGAGGCTGAGTCAAGAGAATCACTTAAGCCCTAGAGACTGAGGTTGCTGTGAGCTGTGACTCCATAGCACTCTATCCAGGATAACATAGTGAGACTCTGTCTCAAAAAAAAGGGCAGCACCTGTGGCTCAAAGGAGTAGGGTGCCAGCCCCATATGCCAGAGGTGATGGGTTCAAACCCAGTCCCAGCCAAAAACTGAAAAAAAAAAAAAAATGACTTCATCGTTTTTTGATACATGTGTTATATGTTCATTGTAAAAAAAAACTGAAAAATGAATAAAAAGGTAAGAGAAAATAAATACTAGCTATCATATCATCATCACCAAAGAGAAGAAACATTGCTGTCCATTTTTACAGAAAAGGATGGCAAAACCCAGATAGCTAAGGTAGTCACCTGAGGAACCTTCCAGAATCCATAGTGCTGCTGATAAGGTATTAAAGATCATGCAGTTTTTCTCTGGGCTCCCTCCCCCGATGTCTCCAAAGGCTTGAGAAACTTTCTTAAGCTGGTGGGGACTATTTTGAGGGAAGCGATTCCAGTGATCCACACCCCTGAAATATGTGCCCCCCCCAAAAAAAAACAGTTCTGCTGCCAGGAAGGTTCCAAGCCTAAGGATTTGTGGAGCAGGAATGGAGCACAAACATTCCAAAAATGTATTTCTAGACATTGGCAGCTGGATCCAACAGATTGGAAAACCCATCTCCCTGGCCAACCCAGAGCCAAGTTTCCATGTCTCGGGGACCCTGACGTGCCCCATTAAGCCTTTACTCTAATGACTACTCTGCTTTCTATTCCAGAGACCTGAATTATAACGAGCTGCAGGAGTTCCCCGTGGCCATCCGGACCCTGGGCAGACTGCAGGAACTGTAAGTGCCTCTGTTGGTTTCTGTGGGTGTCCTCTTCTCCCAGGCGCAGGGGCTGAAGCCAGCCTGGGCCTCCCTCGTGCCCTCACCTCCCCATCTGCCATGGTCCTTGTAAAAGATGTAGCTGCCTGCCCTCCCCAGCCCCCACTGCAGCTCTAAGTAGTCCCAGGCCTCATTAACTTGGCTTTGAGTGTTTCCGGGGGAAGGGGGGTGTCATCAGCAGAAATGGCCCTGGGCCCTTCCAGCCTGGGAAAACACATGGCATAAGCCACCTCCTGGTAGCCTGCGGTGGCACTGTCCCTGCCTTTGTTGGGATGTATCCAGAGAAGAATGGGGAGAGGAACTGGGCACTGGCTTACAGGGTCACTCCTAAGTACCTTGTCCCCAGGGGGACTGAGAAGTTGGCTCTGGTTCCCCATAGCTACCATTTATCATTTTGTTTCCATATTTACTGAGCACCCCGTGTACCCAGCCTGGTGCTTGGTGGTGAACAAGAATGAGGGGTCAGAGTAACATGGCCCTCTCTGAGGAGGCTTCATCCTCATTGAGGAGATAAAGTAACATATGTAAAACAGGACTAAACAGTGTATAATTCTGACCATTAATTATGTAGTATTAGCTAAAATGATGGATGGGAGTTCAGAGTAACCTAGAAAGATCACTGTGGACTAATCCTTTGATTAGCCTTAAAGGATGAATGAGATTTATGTGGCAGTGGTGGATAAGGGGAGGCATTTCAAAGGAAGGAACTATGTAAGTAAAGACCCAGATAGGAAGCTGAGTTGGCAGAGGCTAGCTGAGGGATGACCCCAGGAGGGGGAGCAGCCTTGCTGGAGGGGAGCCCTCAGGAAACGGTAAGAGCTCTACTGTACAGCTACAGGGACTAGATTAAAGGGGCCTTGGAGGTTCATGAACAGACCCAAACTCTCAGGCAGCATCACCTCTTTCTAGCTCCTGCCAGCTAAAACTTTTAGTGCTAGCCCCATGCCACTCACCTCATCTAGAAGTTTGAAGGTACGCATGCCAGATTTAGGTAGCAGATAAGGAGGTCACAGCTAAGCTGGAGCAGTCAGAAGAAATGTCTGAATGAGAAATGACTAGAAGTCCTCCACTGCCAAAGGGTCATCAAGGTCTGAATTTTTTTCCTTTGAGCTGGATCACAAGAGAAAGATGAGATTTGATCAATCAAGAGGGCATGGAGGGAACAGGGTATGTAAAGGCATTGAGACAGGAAAGAAGAAAGCACCAGGGAAGAGAGAGCAGAGACCTAAGTTAGCAGGGGAAAACAAATACAGGTATAGAGAAGTATGTGTCCATCCATTCATCTGTCCACCCATCCATCCATCATCTCTTCAGAGAAAAATGGTTGAGGATAGGACCTGTATCTTATAAACTTCTAAATCCCTCAGAACTTGGCCTGGCACTAGATGCAAAGGAGAGGGGCGTTCAAAAAAATATAATGAGCAAATGGAAGGAATGGAAGAACAAACAGGGCTGGGTGGGTGGCATTGGCCAGAGGTGTTTGAGGGTGAATCTGTGAGTGAGATAACATGAAGATGGAAATAATGATGGGGCAGCAGGAGGAAGAGAGAGGTGAGCCGAGGCCAGTACACAAAGAGAAACCAGAAACTTGCAAGGAAAAAGAGGATGTCAGAAGAGATCCAGTTCAGCACGGATGATGTACTTTTCAGTCCAACAAGTTAGTTATTTTGAAATGTTCTTCTCAACCAACCAAACACATGATTTCTGGTTTCCAGATCCCAAATGCTCCACTGGGGCCATGTTCCTCATCTCCCCCTCATGCCATCTACAGTCATTCGACATCAGATTCTGCACCTTGTCCCTCCCACTGCTACGGCTCTTGACACTTCTGTGTTGCCTCATGTCGGGGCCTTGAGGTCAAGCCAGCCTCCATTTGAGGAACATCGCTCACCCTAGGATCCCCTGGAAGCTCTGTTTTTTCTGCATCCTCCTTCTCTTAAATACTCTTGGCTTCTTCTTGGGACCCACTGGGGTCCCACAAGTGACTAAGGAGAGGGTGCCCCTCTTGGGACCTGCACTCAGCCTCTTGCTCTTGAGCTGCTCCCACAGGCTTCCTGAGGCCTGCAGTCAAAACTCCATCCCACAGTATCTCCACACTTGTTAGGGAAAGAATAGGTGTGGATTGAACAAAGAAGAAAAAGATTTGAACCTGGACTCTCCAGGCTGCCGTCTCTTTTGTCTTAGGGCCTATCTAGTTGGACATCCAGACAAGATTGGGCGCATTCAGGGTGGTATGGCCGTAGACATAGTTGGACTTCCAAAAGCCCCCTGTGTCCCCCTCTCCACACTTTCCTCCAAGTCTGGATCACCTCCTTGGTCTTGTCTTCCAGGGGTTTCCATAACAACAACATCAAGGCCATCCCAGAAAAGGCCTTTATGGGGAACCCTCTGCTACAGACAATGTGAGTACTACTTTTTTAGTCTCTTGATACTGAACAGTGTTTAGGGAAAAGGGACAGAGGTTGGAGAGGCCAGAGAGACTTCCCTTGGAAGCACCGAGGAGGCAGGGGTGTGGGAGGGGCTGCCATAGTCCCAGTGGAAAGGACTGAAAAACTGAATTCAGCGTTTGGACCTTTTTCTTCCAGACACTTTTATGATAACCCCATCCAGTTTGTGGGAAGGTCAGCATTCCAGTACCTGCCAAAACTGCACACGCTGTAAGTTGGCACCTGATGGCTGCCACAGCCTGGACGCCCCCTTTCTTCTCTCCTTCTTGCTGTCTCCTGCCTTTTTCCTACAGACCTCTGGCCTGCAAGGCACAACCCCTAGAAGGCGGGATCATCAAGGCTGCAGGCCTCTGCTTTGTTGAGACCTATTCCCAGATCTGTCTGGACTTAACAGCCTCCCTCCCGCTCCCTGACCTGTGGCTTCTCCCCAGGTCTCAGATGGATGACCAGGGCCCTTCTCCTTAGCCAAGGAGTTTTATCTGGTCTCTTTGGTTTTATCCTGTGCATGGCAGCTTTTCTTTAAAGGACTGGGATGAGGTTCTGAATACTGTATATTCTCAAGGCTGGTCTTCCAGTGGCCTTAGAGCAAGATCCTTGGGCCCCTTGCTGTGCCATCTCTGTCACCTTTGGCCTGAAGGTGCTCCTTTGTTTCCTCTCTTGTTTTTTTAATTCCCAGCCCAAGTCCCACCTCTCCTAACAAGCACACTGTAGCATCACAGTCACATAGCTAACATCTTCAAAGCACATGCTTCACCTTTACGTTCATTACTGATTTTCATCTTCATCTCTGTGAGGCAGGTGTTGTTGGACCATTTTACAGATGGACTATGAGGTGCTTGGGTCCTGCTCAGGCATGAACCCAGAACCTTTGACTTTAGATTCTGGGATCATTGCCGGACTCCTTTAGACAACACTCGTTCTTTTGTGCTCCTGCTATTAGCAGGTCCCGTGTGGGTGCATCACACGGGACCTGCTGATGGTGTGGCGCCATCAGTTTATAGCATTTAAGAGAAATGACAGAGCAGATGATAAATTAGAGGAGGCCCTATCTCGGGCTCTCATAAGCAAAGCCCAGTAGCCAAGGTCTCTTTCAGAATCACCCAAGCTAAGTCAGAGATTTCTGTCACTGGCCTTTGTTTTCTTTGCAAGCTGAGGCCTGAGGTTTGCCTGGCTTAGCCTGGGCTGGGCTGTGCTGAGCCTCTACCAGGGCCTGGGTGGCTGATTTGAGGGAGGTTGCAGGGAAGAATAACATTTCCCCAGAAGGTGGAGTCCCTGTGGGGAGAGAAGGCTGAGGGTTGAGAGCTGGGATGCTAAGGTCTGCAGACCCCACCCCACCACCCCTCAGAGCTTATTGTCTCTGTTTCCAGATCCCTGAATGGTGCCACTGACATCCAGGAGTTCCCAGATCTCAAAGGCACCACCAGCCTGGAGATTCTGTGAGTGGATTTTCTCTCTCTCCTCCTTATCTCACCCCCTCCATATTCACCCTTCCCAGGAAGGCTGTACAGAATCCTTGCTTCCCCCTTACCTGGCCTGCCTTGACTGCTTGCTGAGCCCCAGGAACCCACAGCCACCTCCCAATGTGGCTAGTGGGATGGGGTGAGCAAGCTGCTCTTCCCCTCATCACCACACTTGGATTTCTTCGGTATGACCTCAGGCCCCCAAGTCGTGGGAACACTGAGGACCTGGGATGGGAGGAGGCCAGGGCAAACCCATCTCCTTTGCCTTTCTGAAGCTCGATTCCAACCAAGATGTTCTTGCATTTTCTACTATTATATCCTGTGGAGTGGAGGGAGGGAGTGACAAAGCATAGTAGGCCCTCAGTACATTTAAGTGAATGAATGAAACAAGCCAACACCCAGAGTAAGTGTGTGAGAGGTCAGCTGCCCTGCCCCACACCACAAAGCTCATTAGCACAAAGCTCATTCATGGCATTGCTGGGATGGGAACTCTCCTCTTTGCCTCTATTGTCTTCCCTCTAGATCTGCTGGCTTGTGGAAAAGTTTCCATGACGGAAGTCATAGTTCATGAAAGATGACCTTGGCCTTGGGTCCTTTCTAGGACACCCTGTCCCTAAGCCCAGCCTGCTCCCCAACCTACCCCACAACCCTCTCTCCCCTAGCTCCTGGTTCTTCTCCTCTTTTCCATCTCTTTTCCCCTCCTGCAAGACACAGAAAGCAAACTCTGTGCTTGGTTCCCATGGTTTGACTAGGTGTGTTTTTTTTTTTTTCCTGTCTACCCCCTGCCAATGGCTATCACTCTTAAGGTCCTTGGAGCAGAGAAGATTTTTTTCCCCTTTCCTACAGACCCAGTGCTGTTGGAGACCCTTATGAGACATGGGGTGGGGATGGGCTGGAGGTAGGTGGGGTGGGTTTGGGGGTGCAGGGACTGCCTGTCATGCAGATGCCCTGTGCTATGGCCCTCTTTCTCCTCTCCCCCACCACCCAGCTTCTCTAGGCCCAGGGAAGCTTGGTGCTCAGATGCCAGGGCTTGCTCCTGTCCATCCTAGGAGCCCCACCCCCTGCTCTCTCTCTCTCCTTCCACATCTCTCTTTTGTTAGCCCTGTCATCCCATGACTGTATTAGGAGCTGGAGATGGTGGCTGGGAATGGCAGGGCCCTGGGCCTGGTGCCAGCTCTGTCTCTGTTCTCCCTGCAGGACCCTGACCCGTGCAGGCATCCAGCTGCTCCCATCCGGGATGTGCCAACAGCTGCCCAAGCTCCGAGTTCTGTAAGTGGCTCACAGCATTCTACAGTCTTGGCACAGTGCCCCTGCCCCCAAAAGGCCTCTTCTCCTGTCCCACTTGGTCACATCTCTTCCTGGAGAGTGGGACAGCTTAGGCTCCTGCTGAGGACCTGCCCCAGAGGGAAGGGGCTGTCTTCTCTTATTCAAAATGAAAAGACAATGGTCTTTGAAGTTAGACAGGGCCCAGCTCTGCCACTTACTATTAGTTTGGACTCATTTTTTAACATCTCTGAGCTTCAGTTTCCTCGTCTATAAAATGTGTATAAATTTGTGAAGGTTGGAAAAAATTATACAGACAGCACCTATGCATAATGCCAACAAACAGCATTATTACTCTATAAAAGAAAATTGATCACTTCTGGGTCCACGGAGGTACTCAAGAGGCCTCCAAGGTCAAGGGGCTCTTTCCTTTGACTCCAGCTTGAATATAATGCTCCTGACCAGGGGCCATAACCCCATTACTGGGTGGGCCAACACATGGTGTATGGTGAGAGCTCTGGAGTTGGGGTCTGGAGAAGTGGGCTCTAGACGCGGCTTTGTCACTGGTTGGCACAGTGGCCTTGGGAAGTCCTGTCCCGTCTCTGGGCCTCAGGTTCCTTGTCTGTTAAGTTAAGGAGTTGGCTAGATGGTCCCTATGGATCCTCCAGCTCTGCTCATCTCTGCCAACTCCAAAAATGGTGGTCACAGGTGCTTGAATCGGCATTGCCCTGTTTACTCAGTAGGGCCTGATGTGCTCTTTGCTGTCTGTGTTAGCGCCCCTGTGCCCCACTCTGCCTCTTTCCTCCTCACCACACCCCTCTTATTGTCTGTTCCCCTTTCCCCAGGGTCCTCCCAGGGTCCTTCAGGCCATCAAGTGATAAGGTAGCCCCACTGGAAAATGCCAAATCCACCCCATCTAGACCCAGAGAGGGATGGGACTCAGGAGGGAGAAGTACAGAGAGAGCTAATTGGGAAAACTGGTATCCTGGGGTAAGGTGTGTTAATAGCCATGTCCCTGTGAGGTCCCCATGGCCCTCTGCTACTTGACAGGAAAACATAGCCTGACCAGAGTCCCCCAGCCCTCACATAACCCCTGCTTCACCCCAGACCTGGCCTTTCTCTTTTCTCCAGGGAACTGTCTCATAATCAAATTGAGGAGCTTCCCAGCCTTCACAGGTGTCAGAAGCTGGAGGAAATGTGAGTCTAGGGGTACAGGGAGACAGAGGCATGCAAGCCAGCCTCTGGGCAGGTTGAAGGGGAGGGAGTCAGCCATGGCCAAGTGCACCCTGGCATTCCCTCCTTCTCTGATTTGTTGAACCCACTAGGGTTTAGGGCTGGGAGCTTGGCAGAGGACTAAACAAGACCTATAGGGCTCACAGATGACAGACCCAAGAGCCAGTGACTGAAAGGAGTCTCAAGGTGATTCCTATGAGTCAGTGCTGACTAGGGCCAGTGTTGGAACAGGACGGGGTTGGACAGGGGAAGGCTTTAAGGAGCTGGACGCACCCTGTACTACGGAGCTTGTTCTCTTGTTTTCCACACCCCATAAACACACACGTATATATGTGTTCACATATACACAGACATACACAATCATATGTGGAAGAACAAATGTGGGATTCAGATTTCACGAAGACAAATCACTTTAAAGTTCTCTGAGCTCTGTTTACCCAGCTCCTGCTTCCTCAAGCTAGCATGGCCTCCTGAGTCTCCCTGTGCCTGTCTCCTGCTTCAGGACAGGGTGATGCCTTTTGGGGCCAGGGCAAGGTAGAGGTATGAGGTTCTTTTCTGTTTGTCTAGGTAACAAAGAAGGAAGGTCTTGGATGTGGCCAAGGCCCAGGGTCTGTCTCCCATTTAGACAGCCGGTCTTCTGAGCTCTGCTTCTCAGCTCTGGCCGGTCACTTGGGCTGTCCAAGGGTTGGGCAGCATTCTGCTGCTAGGCTAGGGTCGAGAGGACCCACGGCAATAGGGAGGTGTGGGGGGCAGTTCCTCTGGGCTGGGAGCCAGGCCCAGTGGGAACACTGGAAGCCGACTCCCTTTTGGGCCACAGGGATGGTTTTGTGGCTTTGTCTCCTGACCCACTTACCCAAGGCAACCGGATCCCCTTGTTTTCCCTTTAATTCTGGTGACTTCCTCGGGCTGGGCCCTTTCTTCCTGTGCCAGGAGAAGTGGGGGGCTCTCCTTTATTCCTCCCAGTGCTCGGGGGGCATGGAGCAGAGCCAAGGCCTAAGCATGCTGTCTCATCCAGCCTCTCTTACTGCCCTAGTGGCCTCCAACACAACTGCATTTGGGAAATCGGAGCAGACACCTTCAGCCAGCTGAGCTCACTGCAATCCCTGTGAGTACCCACAGCAACCAGGGGTGGGTGGGGAGGAGCCACTATCCCTCTGCCAGGCACGCTTATATCCATGGTGCACATGTACAGTTCAAGCAGGGGGCCATGAGGTTCTGCAGCCAGGCTACCATGTCCCCTGTTCCTATGGTCATGGCCGGTCAGGAGGTGGGCAGCAGTTGGTAACTTCCCCAAAAGGCTAAGGCAACCGCTCCTGGGGGCAGGTCAGATGGGAGTGTGGGAGGGAGAGCCCACAATGGGAACAAGGAGTCTGCTACATGTCTCTGTCCCCTCCTGTCATACTCTCTCTGCTTGCAGGGACCTTAGCTGGAATGCCATCCGGTCCATTCACCCTGAGGCCTTCTCAACCCTGCGCTCCCTGGTCAAGCTGTAAGTGGCCACTGAGCTCTCCTTCAGGACGTGGGGGACCAGCTGGGACTATGGGCTGGCTGGGGGACCAGGAGGGCCACCCCAGAACACCCTAGAACATGGACATGCATAAATGACTGCACATCCCTAGGAGATAGGCCTCAGCCTAATCAATCATTCTGACAGTCCGTTTTAGAGACTGTGGGGCCTGATAAACAGAGCCCGTCTCTTGCACACTGTGGAACATCCTCTGCTAATGTTCTGTAACACTTTGGCAGCCTCGGCCCTCCCTCATGCTCTCCCGCCCGCCCGCAGTGTGTACTGATAAAGGGGACAGATAGGCCTGGAACTTCTTCACTCCTTCACACACAGATGGGTGGCAGCAGATGTGGGAGCCTGGTCTCAGAGAGCTTGGAGTCCTCTCCGTGAGCATTACTCTGGAGGGGTCCCATTCTGTGGAGCAGGAAGGGACCTCAGGTCCTTTAAATTACATAGGATATAAACAGGGAACAAGCAGTGCTGGCTGCATGTATGTCAGGGCCTGAAGGGGCCTCTGATAGGGGCCACATACTGTATGTGCAGCAGGTCATTCACTGCACCAAGACTCCCGGCCAAGGGGAAGCTGACATCGTGCTGCCTGCTTGCCAAGCTACGAATCCTAAAGGCATGTCTACCCACATGAGGCCCTTTTCTGGTTAACACAATCACTTCTTTGGGTTAGCTTGAACCCCAATCTCAGAGCTCATCTAGTCCTGCACCCCTCACTTCACAGGTGAGGCTTCCAAGGTCTAGAGCAGTGGTTCTCAAACTGTGTGGGTCACGACCCACAGGAACTGTATTAAAAGGCCATGGCAATAGGAAGGTTGAGAACCACAGGCCTAGAAGGAGAAGCTTGTTCAAAGCCAAGAGCCAGAACATGGGGCTCCCAGAAACACATAATTCCTCCACAGGCCGAGGCTCTCTGGGCTCTGGGCTGTGTCGCTGCAAAACTCTCACCCCTGCCTTCCCTCTCCCGTTTGCACTATTCCTGCCAGATAGGTAGGGTAGATATTTTTATCCCTTTGAAAGATGAGGACATTGAAATTCAGGCAGATTTGTGACTCCCCTTGGTTACACAGTGAGCTGGTGACAGCGCCAGGTTTCCTGCCTTCCAGTCCAGGGCTGTTTCCACGACGCACAGTCTGTGGTCGTGGTGTTTGGTTTGGAGCCCTGGCTTCCTCTAACGTGTCTCCGGTAGAAGACCGTGTATGTCCTCACCTCTGGCTGCACAGCAGGCACAGCAAGATGGAATGGATGACCCAATCCCTGTTTGTGACCTGATGGCCAGCTCTGTCCAATCCCAGACTCTGGTCTCTTGTATCATCAGAAAAGTGAGAGGAAGGGCAGGGGGTTTGGGGGAAATAACAATTCAAAGGTCCCCCAGGGGACTGGGCAGGGATTCCTGGATGGTATTCAGAGCTGGGCACAGGAGCAGTGGTTGGGGGAGCTCTGTTACCTACAAAATGGGACAGCTTGGCATTCAGTTAGAACAGTCCCTGATACATAGTTGGTACCCAGTGTTTGTTGAATGAATGAGTGAACACCTGTAAATGGTGCCTGTGGCAACTCTGGGCTGCCCTCCCTCCCCAGGACACAATGCTTTCTTCTAAGCTGATCTTCTGTCCTTTGCTCCTCTCCTCTTGCTTCCATCCCAGGCGCACTGGCCACACCCTCAGCACAGCCCCGCCCCTTCAGCAATCCCACTGACTGCCAATAACCCTGACCATCCACTGTCCTAGGGATCTGACAAACAACCAGCTGACCACACTGCCCCTGGCCGGACTCGGGGGCCTGATACATCTGAAGCTCAAAGGGAACCTGGCTCTATCTCAGGCCTTCTCCAAGGACAGTTTCCCCAGACTGAGGTGAGGGCCTGGCTTTCCCCCACACCTAGGCAGGTTTGCCCTGGGGCAGCTGGAGGCTATGAGGGACATGGAGAAAACCACAGGGCCTCATACTGAGAAGAGCCTACTGGCTTAGGGTTTGGCTCTTTCAATCTCCCACCAGCCTACACGGGGTCTGGTACATGCCTCCCCTTCCTCCTCTTCTTTGCAGCATTTCCCCCTGTCCCAAGTACCAACCCTAGGGCACACTGGGACCTGTGGGGACAAAAATAAGAGGATACGACAGTCCCCAGGCCTTGCTGCTGCTCAGCAGGTTCTATACACCCACATCCTCACTTGGGCAGCATCTGGGCCCCTGGGATCAGGGCAGAGCCCAGGGCACTGACGAGTGGAAAACAAGCTGCACAGCCAGTCCCTGGTGCTAATGACATCCAGGCCTCTTCCACACAGCAGCAGCAGCAGCACAGCCTGTGTGGCCCAAGCCTTGTCTGCTGCAAACTAATGAGTTGCCCTGAGGCATTTGCCCTCACCCTCAGAGGGCACTGAACTAGCTCTGATATGCCCACAAACGTAGGGAGGGACAGCGTGTGGGTCTCTCACTGAGAGTCAGGATAAAGAACCAGTAAGAGAATTCCTATCTCCTTAAATATAAATGAATTGCTGCCTGTGTGACGTTGGGGAAGCTGTTCCTTTCTCTGCGCCCGCTAAGGGACTCCTTAAACAACAGGCAGAAAGTTTCTTTCCCCATCTCAGTTCTTAAGATGAACGAGGAAAAAACTGGAATATGTCCAGTACTCTTCAGAGCCAGGAGTCAGGCTCCAAGACCTGTACAAAGTAAGCCCAGGAGGCTGCTGGCACAGTGATCAGGGCACGTGGAGGTCAGGAGTCAGGCTGCAAGACCCTTACAAAGTAAGCCCAGGAGGCTGCTGGCACAGGGATCGGGGCACTTGGAGGTTGAAGGGCAGGTATTGAATGTCTGGCTCCCCAGGCTGGGGATCTCTTATCTCAAACTGAAGTCTTAGGCCCCAAACATACTGAGGCAGCCCCCTTCCCCTCTCCCCCAGGATCCTAGAGGTGCCCTATGCCTACCAGTGCTGTGCCTACGGCCTGTGTGCCAGCTTCTTCAAAGCCTCTGGGCAGTGGGAGGCCGAAGACTTTCACCTTGATGAGGAGGAGACTCCAAAGAGGCCCCTGGGCCTCCTTGCTGGACAAGCAGAGAACCACTGTGAGTGACAGGGGCTCTGGACTGGGCAGGGTGGGGGCTGTGGGGAGGAAGTTAGAGGTGAGGCTTGCGGGGCTGAGTGAGGGGACCTGATGGAACTGAGGAGGCAGAGGAGCTGCTTGTGATCTCGGAGCAATCTCCACCTGTTTGCACCTTGTCTCTCCAAGGCTATACTCAGAGGTACCTGGGAGAATGTGACGATGGTAACAATGGCACAAGTGATGTCTCAGCATTGGCTGGCCCCTTTGCAGTTCAGAAAGCTCCTCACACACATGCACCATCTCACTTAGTATCTCTGCCCTTGAAGTTCCCATGTTCTTCTTTAAACTTAGGGCATTCTCAAAGGAGACAGGCCCATTATTTCATCAATCTGAGCCAACTAGGATTGAGTTAAATTAACTGAATTAAAACCGCTTCCAGAAAAAAGAAAAAAATCCTTTCATAATATGTCCTAGAACCTGGCTCGGCGCCTATGGCTCAAGCGGCTAAGGTGCCAGCCACATACACCTAAGGTGGCAGGTTCGAATCCCCAGCCCGGGCCCGCCAAATAACAATGATGGCTGCAACCAAAAAATGGCCGGGCGCTGTGGCAGGCGCCTGTAGTCCCAGCTACTTGGGAGGCTGAGGCAGGAGACTCGCTTGAGCCCAGGAGTTGGAGGTTGCTGTGAG